AATGTAAATCCTTATAAAATTAAAAACCAATTGTTCAAAGAACAATTGAAGGTCTTTCTACATCAATTTTCTAAATAATTGATAAGAAGCTATACTTCTGGTTTACTCACAGCTACTATTGGCATCCAATCAGAGGTTTCTTCATACTGATTCAATAAACATATGGTTTCTATAGACTTTTGCCTGAAATAAGGGAGATAATTGCCAACTTCCGGTTTAGAAAATTTCTCTTCCAGTCTCATATGATAGCTTTATTTACACTGATTCCAAAAATATATGGTTTATATATACTTTTGCCTGTAAAAAGGGAGATAATTGGATACTTCCGGTTTAGAAAATGCTACTTCCGGTCTCATATGATAGATTTATTCACATTGATTCCAAAAAATCACTTCCGGTCTCAAATGATAGGTTAATGTATGACCATTCAAAAAATATATGGTTTCTATGTACTTTTACATGAAATAAGTGCAAAAATTACTACTTCCGGTTCACTAAAGGTCACTTCCGGTTGACATTTTTCAAGGTCATATGTCACCCAACATTTTGCAAAAGAGCTTATGGCTTTATCATGTACCAATCTGAAGAAATAATCAATTTACCTTAAAATAAAACATTTCAGGGGCAATAACTCCAATAAGACTACAGAAAAGTGGAAAGACCTAATGAAAGGTGGATATTTCTGAAACCCTACTGCATATTAGATAAAATGATTATTTTCAAATGTGAAAAAAAACTCTGTCATATAGAAACAAAGTGTATTAGAAGATATATAAAGAAATAAACTTTGCAATAAAATCATAAACCGACGCGGATCCATGCTTTTGAAAAAAGGGTCCACCAATCCAACAATAGTAGGACTTGTAAAATGTCTATATGCATCAACCACACTTATAGCTCCATAAAGGAAGCCCTGTACAAACCTTAATTCGCCTCTGATAACTAATTTCCCTAAATAGATGACTGATAAAGGTAGCAGATAAACTATTTAGGACCTGTAAAGCTGAACTAAAACATCTAGATACACATTTATCTCTTTTTAGACTTAAACAAAGAGCGTACTCCTGTGGAAAGTGAGCAGATCAGCGTGACATCATTGATTTGATTTGATTTTTGGTGTTTTAACGCCACTTTTAAGCACCGCTTTTGGGCTATTTCGTGGCGGCCAGTTTTTATTGGTAGAGGAAGCCGGAGCGCCCGGAGAAAACCACCGACCTTCGATTTGACATCATTGATAAACAACAGTTAAAACTATTAGAAACATTATCCGATTCAAAGTGAAAACTTTTTTCTATAAAAGATTGTCGAATAAATTTTATTTATTACATTTCATAATTCATGAATGTTTTTTTGTTTTCTTTTATATGATGTAATTGGTATTATTATAACAAATCTCTAATAAAGATTTTAAAACTTTTGCCGTTAACAAGCAATCGATTGCACACTGTGCGATATAAATCACTCCTGATATACACCTAAAACAAATATTTTCTTTTGATGAACACATTAAAAACTTTTATTTGTCTAGTATTGAAATACAATAAGCAATTATAATCAAATATAATGTCTCTAAAAATAGTTAGCAGGTAGTCTTTGATATACAAAAAAAAAAAACAACAACAGAAGGAGTAGACAACCTGGAACGTAAAGATAAATTGTATTAGTTATATATGTCCAAGGTGCAACAAATTGTCATTAAACAAATAATAATAAAAAAAAACTTAAGAAAAGAATTAAAAAAAAATAACATTTAACACACTTGAACAACTCGGACCTTTATTAAAGACAACTCGGGCCGGTTTGAAAATACTACTACTGAGACCAATTTGTATGACATCTCGGACCAGTTTGAAGACAATTTCGGACAACTTAAGAGAGTATTGAAGGGGTTTACATAATATTGAATAAGGACAAAAAGTGCAGAATAAAAGAAAAAAATAAAGAACAGAGAAAAATAGGCAAAAAAATAAAGAATCGACAGAATATGGGTGTTAAGATATAAGGAATAGAGAATAATGGGAAAACATAGATAAAGAATAGACGGGAAAATGTTACAAAAATAAAGAATAATTAAGAAACAAATATAAAACAGTTGTTGTAATAAGTAGTCCGAATTGTCTTTCGAACTGGTCCGAGTTATATCTTTAAGTTGGTCGTAGTTGTAGTCCGAATTGTCTATCGAACTGGTCCGAGTTATATCTTTAAGTTGGTCGTAGTTGTCTTTAAACGTGGTCCGATTTGTTTTTTGAATTGGTCCGATTTGTTTTTTTAATTGGTCCGATTTGTCATGTATTCGCTTGCAGCATACAAAGAAAATGTAATAAGCTTATTCTTAAAGTGTTTGTATAGTTGCACACAAATATCATCATCTCCCTAAACAATTTAAGTTGGAACGCATTTATTAACTATCTTAGGGCGAATTGGTTTGTAGGAATCGGAGTTAGAACGAATCATCCAGATACCATTTTATGTTTCGAGGGATTGTTTTACCAGAAGTTATAAATACAAAGATGACATCACACATATTATATTACCTTTTTGGCTTTCATTTCATCTTTTTCTCCACAGGCACTTGTCTCTGAAATCCCCCCTCCCCTAATATACCTTAATATGACACAAGGTACTTTTAAACTCGCATTTTTAAAAAAAAAAATGACAATAGGTCGCGAACTTTCGTTATATTTCGATTCCTCGGTTGTCTACCCCACTAAAACTTGTTATGCCGTGAATCTACATTGATTCATCTACACAATGGTGTATAACACGCCTACCTTTGTTGTCGGTATCATTCGTAGCAGACCTCCCAAACTATGTCAAACGTAATTATTTCGTCTTCTCACAGCATTTGGAAATATTAATCTCGCAGTAAACGGTCAATTATAATTGTCCCTTTGGTATATTTCCCCTCTCTTATACATATCTCGGTTTCCGATTGGTCAAATCTTATTGCTAAAAATAAATAGATATAAGAAGATGTGGTATGAGTGCCAATGAGACAACACTCCATCCAAGTCACAATTTGTAAAAGTAAACCATTATAGGTCGAAGTACGGCCTTCAACACGGAGCCTTGGCTCACAACGAACAGCAAGCTATATTAAAGGACCCCAAAAATAACTAGCGTAAAATCATTCAAAAAGGAAAACCAACGGTCTAATCTATATAAATCAAAGTACTGAGGTACTGAACTTCGGATTATATTTCAAGTATTATAAGGTATATAAAATATTCCAGTGCTGTTTGATTCATTGTTTAGCATACACTTAATTGGGTGGGTGGGTGGGTGGGTGAGGGGGGTGGGGGGTGCTAGAGTAGTTAACGTGGTCTGTTTTAACTATTTATAAGTTTTACTTAATGCAATGTAGGATAAAAAAACAAAATTCTCATAGATTTTTCCAAGACCCCAACCCCCTTTTGTAACTTAATTTAGAAACATGATATTGATTTACTGATTTACTGGTGTATATATATAGACATGCGCTGAACGAATGTTTGTAAATGCATTTTAGCATGTAATATCATGAGTGTTGTTACCTCAACAATGATCGATTGACTAGTTGGTAGTTGAAAATGTCCAGTGACAATTATTTTACCCATGTTCAGGACGAGAACAAATTAACAATGCATACAATAGGTAGGTCCTGTAATAGGGGTCGACCTGGATATGGAAATTTGCACTACCAATGGAAAGTGAGGGTAAATTGTATAGGGACAGATATGTAGCCTTGCAACAGGCCTCATACGGGTCGGCACCAACCAAAGAGGTGTTGCAAGGCATGGGTTATCATGTGCAGACCATCGGAGCCTTGCACTCTCTTTACAGGAGGCATCAGATTTAACGTCCCCATTCTGACGCGACGTGATGTGCATACATCTGCACAACCAAACGGACACCTCACTTTGGCAAGGGTTTTACTGACGATCGGAACGGGAGACCAAGAATGATTCATATTTCTGAGGGTCGTAATGGGGGATACCTTCATGACGAATAACGGTACTGATTTTTGGTGCATGACGATAAAATGTACTTTCTTTTAGACGATAAAAAAATCGACTGATTTTGACGAATCACGTTAATTTTTTTTCCAAAAATAACGGTAACGATAATTATTTGAGACTTCTGACGAATCACGATAAGGATATTTTGACGAATCACGGTGAAATTTTAATCAATTTGACGCTAACGGTAGCCGAAAATTACTGTTTGACGCCTGACGGTAAAGGGTATTCCAGTCACTCTTGGGGTTCCTCAACAATGAATATTGTCTAGTATACTGTTTTTATTGACTTGGGGGGCATACCTGACTGGAAATATTGATGTGCATATGCTGATGTATCAAACTGAATTAATACTTGTAATTATTTTTTTACAAACATTATAGTGACTGCAGTCAGTGTGGAACCTGGATTTTCTATATCCCAGTCAGGGCAGGGACTTTCTTTAGTATAGAAAGTCCCTGGTCAGGGGGAATTGCATGTCTAGTTTGGTTGTTTTTGTTATATAGATATAAGAAGATGTGGTATGAGTGCCAATGAGACAACTCTCCATCCAAGTCAAAATTTATAAAAGTAAACCATTATAGGTCACAGTACGGTCTTCAACACGGAGCCTTGGCTCACACCGAACAGTAAGCTATAAAGGGCCCCCAAAATTACTAGTGTAAAAACCATTCAAACGGGAAAACCAACGGTCTAATCTATATAAAAAACGAGAAACGAGAAACACTTATGAACCACATCAACAAACGACAACTACTGAACATCAGATTCCTGACTTAGGACAGGTGCAAACAAATGCAGCGGGTTTTTTTAACGCTTATTTGAATAAAACCATTGTTCATTTCTGACCTATAGAAGCAGAGACATATATATGTGTATATATGTCTCTGATAGAAGTCAGATGATTCAGATTTTTTTAATCTGATTTAAAGAACTTTCAATACTTTGATATATCACGCTAAAGATCACATGACAGGGTACTTTGTATTGACCAATTGATACATCCCAAATGCGGGATATTGACGTGGCATGTGCAACGAAATATTCTCCACGTCCGCCATTTTACATTGTTTTGACAGGTCTTAGATACGAAATCAAGCATATATCGTTACTTAAACACTTTCACTGCAACAGTTTTGGCAGACAGGTACATTAAACAGGTTTGTTGATGAAAATATTATATTTATGTACAATATAACCTAAATGATACAGGAATACTAATGAAAATGTGAACTTCCGGTTTATAAAGGAATGACTGAGCGAAGTGACATTTAGTAATTTTATTTGTTAAGAGTTAATTCTAAGGTTGAACTTACTATTTAATCGAAATCCTGATACTTCAAATATTAAAGTTGTTCTTTTAAAACAATGTGTAAAAGTGGCATTATTAAACATTGATAATTACATTCTACTATCCGCCCCATCGTCATTTTTGTTTAGTTGAAGGTTATAATTCACCGGCTTCAAAATAATACTTATTTTACACTAAGTTTATAGTAACTAGAATCTGTATAAAGACTGTGTTGAAAAGCTGTTATAACATTCTCTTTATATAAAAATCATTCGAAACACTTAAATAGAGACTTGCTTCTCAAGCTTGTTAGTTCCTGTATAGATTAAAATCAGTAAGTAGGAGTTCACAATTTTGCTACATTTGTAGAGTTATTGTCAGGGTTCTCTTGAAGGTAGGTACACATTTGGCTGCTCACTGATTGCTAATTCTTTAGAGGAAATCATTCATGAGGCAGTAGTTTTGTTAATGCTATATGTAGGTTGGGGAAAAGTGGGCACACTGACACTGTGAGTGAGTATGATGGATGAGTAGGGACCAGTCACCCAGATTGACAAGCTATGAGGGGCAGATGAATAATAAAAATTTGGGAAATAAGTGTGGCCTGAACCTGGGTCGCAATTCCGAATGTTTTGAAATAGGAAAAATCCGTAGCTCTATGGTCCGCAAATTGTCAAAAAATATCATAAGGACCTAACACCTACAGTTCCGCAGCTACATCTTTAGTAGATAGAAAAGTTAAACCAGTGAAAGTAAAAAGCATGACAGGATCTACATGTACACAATTATGTCTTTATAACAGTTATTGCCCTAATTAATGAGGATTTTTGAACAATTTTAGAGTTTGTTTTAATATCACATGTATAAGATATTAAACTAAAGCAATGTCCTTTTGATATTTATGACATTTGTATTACAGATAACACAGAATTGGAAAATCGTTAGAAGCTTTAATTAAATAATTCATCAACATGGGATCAGTTTTTGGGAAACTTTTCTCCTCGTTATTTGGTAAAAAGGAAATGAGAATATTAATGGTAGGATTGGATGCTGCCGGTAAAACTACTATTCTTTACAAGTTGAAGTTAGGAGAAATAGTGACAACTATACCTACTATAGGTAAGAATAACATTTCTACAAATGTATCTTTCAATATTACAAAGGGTTTTGCACCCTGAACAAAAATGAGAAGTAACGTTTGTCCAATGTCTCATGTATAAAAATGGTGAGACAGAAGTGCAGTAGCTCATGTTTTCTTTTCAAGACAACAATGCAAGTTTCTAATAATATAACTGCAGTGGTCACATCACCAGGCAAATTAAGCGACCATATTGCCCTCAATTAACCATAAAATTCCCTCATGTCACCTCATGATTTTGGTAATATCTCAGTTCAAACCCAAATGATTTGATAATCGCCGTAACAAACATGTTTTTCCCGAATTCGAAATTGAATTGTCTTTTACTCCTACATTAAAATAGCCAGACAGGTTGCTGATTAAAGTGTACTACAAGCAAGAAACAAGTGATAAACTTGATTTTGAGATGCTTATTTATGTTCCACCATCTTTTTTTTATGCCCTCTGCCGCAGCGGAGGGGGCATTAAGTGTTACCTCTGTACACCCATACGACCCGAAATTGGTTTCCTTTCTCTAACTCTAGTTTGCCTCAACCAAATGTTATGAAACTTATACACAATGCTTATTACCACAAAACACAGATCAAGTTTGAATTTGGGTGCCGTCACTTTTACGCTTAGAGTTGTGTCCTTAAAATTCAAATGGAAAAGTTGTTACCGTTCTCTAACTTAAGTTTGCCTCTACCAAATGTTGTGAAACTTATACACAATGCTTATTACCACAAAACTCAAATCAGGTTTGAATTTGGGTGGTGTCACTTTTACCTTTCTTGAGTTGAGTCCCTTTATTACGTTAATAACGTTGCGTTAGATACAAGCCAGGGCATCATCAGTGTCCATGGTGTCCCATAGACACATTCTCCATTTATTTCAATGTAGAGTGCACCCTTTTTTTTTCTTTTCACTTCCCCTTATTATTATAATTCTGAAAGTGACTGCTGTAACTGTATTTTGCTATTTTGTTAACACTACTTATGTGATATGTGTGTTGTGTACAACACAGGGTTTAACATTAACTTATTTAACCTTTTGGCCTTTGGGCAAGTGACCATGATACTTTACTTGTAGAAAGAACAAATTTTTAAAATTTTGTACTTGTTTGAGAAATTTATATACTGCCGTTATTGACAAAAATGGTTTATCATTTTTCCAAAGTATCAATAAACAATCTCGACAGTGAGCTGCCATGTTCATCTCTGGTCTGGGGTTGATACAGATTTGGTTTTGATATGCATAATTTTGTGAAAGAACACAGAATATTGACATTATTAACCCACAGAAAACCCTCTCCAAATAAATTAGTAACTGAACATGATGAGAAAGCATTTAATTTGTTAAAATGCTTGTTTTCCTAAATTTCACATTTGTTTGATATTTTCAAATGAATGGTATTCATGGTATTGATAAAGGTGATAATGGTTTTTTATATCGTCTGTATAGGGATTACAATCTGGTGGGGGCGGCATTTACTGCTTGTTTAAAGCTTTATAATTCTGAAGGTAGAAGACCTGGATTTTGCATACCTTGTTCATGTATGCAGATGCCTTTTGTTACAAATTTTTCATCTGTCATACAGGTATGTCCATTATCCTTGACATCAATTTCATGGAAAAGGTAGGACTGCTTGAAAAATTGTTTTTATTTTGTCATGGGAATTTTTCACTTATTATGAGTAATAGGATAATTATCTTGGTATATTGGTTCCTTGCAAGGTCTACATGTTAGTTTAAAGACAGGTTCACCTGACCTCAACCTCATTTTATTGATCAGTGATCGAGGTTAAGTTAACATGGTCAAGTCCGTATCTCAATGTAATCAATTGGTCAACTAGAATTCAATCATGATAACTTAAGCAGGCGTGACATTTTAGCGTGAAATGAATATTAAGAGATTCATGTATATGTACATTTGTATGTTGGATAGTTGTCTCATTGGCATGCATAAATGTGCCACATTTCCTTATTTCATATTAAATGTATGTTTTACAGATTTCTTTGTACAGGAACATGTGGTTTACAGGTTATAATGTCAACTTATATTTTGTCAAATGTTCTACTTTTTTTTAGAAAGAAAATTCATTCCTTGCAACTCAAAGATGTCTGTAAAATGTACAATTCTTTTGAAAAACTCTACAATATAGAAGTGTATATTTTTCAGGTTTTAATGTAGAAACGGTAGAATATAAGAATATAAGTTTTACGGTGTGGGATGTAGGAGGGCAGGATAAAATAAGACCTTTATGGAGACATTATTTCCAAAATACACAAGGTACGTATGACTAAAGTGTAAAGTACAGTATACATCATTTAGGATCTCATAGATGGGTTCTATCTCATACATGTATGTGTGAATTGAAAATATCCCCAAAATATTAAAAATTATCTCCCTTTTTTTAGTCATACTTTTTATATGTGCTGATACAAGCTTACATTTGATAGTTAGAAAATGAAAGGATATGGAGTAAATGTACATGGGACAAAATAGCACACAATACATAGATAATTATCAATGAACAGGGCTTTTATTCCTGTTCTTCATCTTGACAGTTGATGTAGGGTCTTCAACAATGAACAAATCATTCATACCCTACAACAAGGTCAAGACGACCCCTAGCGTCGACTTAAGCGGTACTATTGATAAAAATAAACCACAGTTCACCTTCTTGCTCCCCACCCCCCTCGGAGTGCCAACTTGTGCGATGCTTGTGTACAACAGTTCTCCAGTCGAAAGCACCAGGGATACAAGAAAAGTGCAGTAATTTTGAAAGAATGCCGCTAAAATATGCCTTGAAGTTACACATGTCGGGAGCGGTCAATGAATTACATAATTTATAATTACGGACAAGGTTTTTCAATATACATTTGTCATACATTGCCCAACAAAAGACCAATTGTTAACATAACCTCTGCACACATTATTTTCATTTAGATGTACAAAAAAACACATCAGATCACTAGTTTGTAATTTAGATTTGTTTTGGGTACATGTACCAGAAAATATACATATAATGAGTAATTGAATTAGAAAAATTAGAATAATGTGAATTGAACCCTGTTCTTTTTTAGGTTTGATATTTGTAGTAGATAGTAATGACAGGGAAAGAATTAATGAGGCTAGGGAAGAATTACACAGAATGTTACAAGAAGATGAACTTAGAGATGCTGTTTTATTAGTGTTCTGTAATAAACAGGTGGGTAATATTACAGGGGTCACCACACTATGCCAAGTGAGAGATATTATCGTCCTAGTGTTCCAGACATCGATAATGAATCTTTAAGGAGAAGTTGATGTCAACCTGGATTTTCAGTAAAATTCCTAAATGTCACCTTATGATTTTGAAAAAATTGACCATCAAAATGTACATGATTCAGATATTCGAAGAAATGAACATGTTTTTTCCAAATTATTGTCTTATATTGTCCTCAGTCTTTTAATAAAATACCCAGGCAAGGATATGTATTACAGAGGAAGAAATAGAAGAAGAAACTTCAATATTAAAGTTCTACATTTTTGTTATTGAAATGGTAGAGGCTGTCATTATATCTTTTCAAAACACTAATAATTTACCATATCCATATTGATATGCAATTTTGATTTAAAAATCCATTACAAACTGATAAATATGAAAATTAAATGCTTAATTGCAAATTTCTCATTTTTTGAATGGCATTGCATAATGCAAACTGGAATCCACTTGATTAAACACTATGGTTCAAGATGTAGTTGTCAGACGGGAACCGGTATAACGATGTATAAACTATAAAATATAATTGTTGTCTTGTTAGCAATCATACCACATCTCCTTATGCCCCTGAAAAAAATCAGATATCTCAATTCCAAATATTGTCTAAGGGCTTTTCCAGAAATGAATGTATTAAATATTTTATATGAATGTTAAGGCTATATGTCTAAAAATAACCATCACTTATCAAATTTTCATAAGAATGTTAAGGCTATATGTCTAAAAATAACCATCACTTATCAAATTTTCATAATGGAGCCTTTGACCCTATTCAATTAATTTTGGAAAAGCTGTAAAGATGTTTGTTTCTCTGCTTGATTTTTAATCTGCAAGGTAATCTTTTCTTCTTTGATACTTGGAATATTTATTATATAAATAAGATGTGGTATGAGTGCCAATGAGACTACTATCCATCCAAGTCACAATGTGTAAAAAGTAAACAATTATAGGTCAAAGTAAGGATTATGCCCACTGAACACCGAATTTTCTGTCAATATTTAAAAACAAATTGGGATATTTTTGTATTACATTGTGTGTAACTTCTTTAGGGTTTGAACTTTTGATTATTTTCAAGGAGCCATGTGGGCCCCTAGTATGATAGACTTTTAGGCCCACAGTTAATCTTAAAGGGGCATTATATATATATATATAATTAGCTGTCAAAGTCATGTTCACCGAATAGACTCAAATTCTCATATTTGATTTTTAACATACTAAAACGTAAATCCAAATTATAAAAAGTCTTAAACAATTTACAATGCATGAGCTCTATAATATGTATCACAATTTCGTGTGTATTTTAGTCGAGAAGCCATCTAATTAACCATCGAGGTGACCTCTGAAGACTGTTGACGGTCATATAACCCGATATAAACATAAATATAGATATAAATAGATAGCGAACTCATGCAATTGGATTTTTCTAGGTCTGTTTGATTTCATATTATAGGTTAAAAATACATGTTAATCATCGTTTTTACCTGTATCAGAATAAGTTTTTGTGGATCGAATCTGTCAATCAAATGGTTTACCCTTGTTTCACTTTCAATGTTGACCTTCTTTTTCTTATAATAACTGAACACGCCTAATTCATGCATAACCCATCTCTAGCTAAGGAGTTAAATTGAAGGTCACATGAACACGGATCCAATGAGGTCTAATTATTCACTTGCAAGTGAATAATTCATAAGCGATGTTTCTTAACTTATTTTGACAAAATTGTACCAAACTGGCTGCTAAGAGCGAATTATTATTTCACTTTTTCACTTTCATTAATGATTGAACAAAAAAAAATCATATTTTAATTATTATACGCCCGTCAAAATTTTAACGGGACATATTATGGTATACAAATGTCTGCTGTCCGGCGTCCACATGTCGCACCGGTACTTGTGAACGACTTATCCAAATTTCATGAAACTTAGCATAGTTGTTTCTTATGATGGTCAAATGATCTGTATACTTTTTGGTGAAAATAAGATTAAAACTTTTTGTTTTACGGGACTTTGTAACTAAAACAGGGGGGTGTTTTTTTCACATGTCGCGCCGTATCTCAAAAACGATTTATTATTATTGCTTAAAACTTTACACACTTCTTAATTATATTAATCTAAAGATCTGTATACTTTTTGGTGATGATTCAAATTTTTATTTTAGAGTTATTGATTTTTTTATAAAAAAAATGGGGGTTTTCACATGTCACGCCGTATCTCAGAAAATATTTATGATTATTGCTTACAACCTCACACACAAGACGAGGGGCGTATCATGCGCTCTTGGCGCAGCTGTTTATTTTTTATATCTCGTAGCTAATGCCCCTTTAATAGCCCTCAAATTCATGCTATGAAATTTAGTATAAAGACAATAAAAATTTGAATTGAATTGCATTATATAAAAGATATATAAATTTTACAAATTTAAGCAACTTAATTCAATAAATATGCAACAATGCATTTGCATTGATATAAGTACATTTAACTAAGGTGATCCTACCAAATGTCTCTAATTGTGTGTGGAATGCGTAATTTTCACTTTTGTGATTATTATTCTTCTGTCAGCTGTGTCATTAGTGAGTCTGAAGCTATAATTGCTAGAATATGGATTTTGTTTATAGTTGGTCCGTTTCTCGTAATGTATTTCAATGGACAAAGGAAAATTTACAAAAATAAACTGTTTGACAAGCGATTTGGAAAGTAATATTACGAGACGAATATAACATGTATCAGACCAAAACAGTTCTATGACAAATTTACCTGTAGAAACCATATAGACAGAAAAGCAAGAAGAGTTTGACACACACATGTGTAAATGAAATTGTCATTGATGAGGTAATCCTGGCCCAATTTGAAGTTTGTGTCAGTCGAATAATGAGCAAGGATACCATGCTTTGGAAAAAAAGTGACCGTTTTAAAACTGGTTTTCCGTGAACTACAATTGATATCATGCGATTTTAATGAATGATAATTTTAAAATGTACTCTGCATGTGGGCTAATGAGATTACACATTTATGATCCCACATAAAAAAATACTAGCAAATGGCTTGAGGGCGACCACTAATTTCAAACCCTGTTCTTGTTGAAATACATTATTGAAAGATAAAAGATAATTTATAATATTAACATTTATTTATTTTCATCAGGATTTACCTAATGCAATGAATGCTGCCGAAGTGACAGATAAACTAGGTCTACATAGTCTGCGTCAACGTGGATGGTATATCCAGGCAACCTGTGCTACAAGTGGAGACGGACTATATGAAGGACTTGATTGGTTATCAAATACACTAAAAAAAAATATGTAAAATGAAAGTAGAGCCGGGAATAATATAATTTATTATCAGTTTTTGTTGAGGATAAAATAATAAGTATGTTTCAAGGTGTTTTTATGGACAGAAATGTTTTGATGAAGGTTAGCGTCACTATGAAATCTTGTTTTTATCACTTATCAATATTCTCCTAGAACCAACTGAAGTATTTTTCAGACTCTAAGTATAAACATTCCAAGGAATATTGGTGTTGGGCCTAATTTTTTACAGTGTTCCTTATTATACTGTAAGTTCTTCAGAATGCCCTTATCACTTACTATTGAAATCTTGTTTGCTACTTTGATTTGGGTTATTCAGCAAGCAAATATTCAAAAACAAATTCTCACTCAGAATATATGTACAAGTATAGAATAAAATACAGGGCACTAAGATAAAGGAAATCCAATGATTTTTTGTTACTAGTGGATCATCATGTTCCACTTGGAACAAGTCGGATATAATTCTTGACAAACAATTGTTGGATGTGTGCAATTTTTTTCTCATGTACATTATCATTCAACAAAAAACAAATCATATATGTTTATTTTATCTTAAGATAGTATTTGTGAACAAAATCTTTCATGTTCTGGACCTAAAGTGTAAAACATGTACATACTGTATTGTGACATTTTTCACTAAGTTTTGAAATTGATTTATATTGTATTATTCATTTATTTATCATTTTGTTTTTGTTTTCATTTTACAAGTGGATGATTGATGTATGTTGATACACAACTGTATTAAAGTGAAACTATTTATCCCTTATATTTCATATAATTTTGGTAATACTTAATTTGCTTAATTCATTTGGGGATATTTTCTTCTAACTTTCCTTCCCATTAAATCTATAAATTGTTCAAAAGTTGTTTTTTTTTTGTTAAGGTTTATATGGATTAAGAACCTAGCATGCATTTAAATTTCCTAATTGAATGTTAAACTTTGAACTCTGTTATTATTTTGACAGAGGATGGATTGAATATACTGCCATTGTTCCCATTAATTGTTTTAGAATTGAAAAATGAGAATAAAATTGTTTGAAAGCCTCATTTCCATCAAGCATATGTCTAGTTAAGAATACACACTCCATGTAATGAATTCAGACAATGGAGATCAATATCAGACAAGATAAATTTGTGTATTAGAGTATGCTCTAATAAAAGATGTCTTCTTATTTAGCCTACATTAATCTACAATGTTAATAACAATAACACTGCTTGTCATGAAGCTGTAATGATGAGATTTTCTGATGGGAGTTTTGTATATTTATCTAGTGAATGTTATGTAGAATTAGTGGTGTCTCCACCACATTCATCAATGGTGGATATTCCACTGATCAGATATGTAATATCCATGAAACTTCTACTTCTATCTTGGTAGAAATCTCATAGATATGTTAACTGTTTATGTATTTTGTAGAAAATAAACATGGATACCAATACAGAAATTGATATTCAATTTTATGGCCAGTCATTAGCATAATTGGTATCATAAAGCCACTCTCTTCCTCAGGCAAAGATCATATTTAGACAATTCTCTTGGATAGGCGAAGCCTAAATGTACTTCTCCTGCACTCAACCAACTGTTCATAAATTTTGCCCGGTAGCAGAGGGGGCATTAAGTTTGACCCACGTCCATATGTCCCGACGTCCCAAAATTGGTTTCAGTTCTCTATCTTTAGTTTGCCTCAACCAAATGTTATAAAACTTATATACAATGCTTATTACCACAAAACACGGATCAAGTTCGAATTTGGGTGATGCACTGAGTTATGCCCCTTTACAAATGGAAAGATTGCTGAATTTTTCGTTTCAGTTCTCTAACTTTAGTTTGCTTCAACAAAATGCTATGAATCTTATACACAATGCTTATTACCACAAAACTCAAATCAAGTACGAATTTGGGTAGCGTCACTTTTACCTTTCTTTGAGTTTTGTCCCTTAATAATGTCACATGCAAGCGGGGGCATCATCTGTGTCCCATGGACACATTCCCCATTTATCTTCCACCTAAATAAGTCTTGATTTTTGATAAAATGAAGAAAAATTTCGAACAATGAATGATGTGGATATCCCTACTGTAAAAGTTATTTAGTAATGAAACTATTTTTGTCATTCCAAACATTACATGTATGACTGTATTTGGGATAAAATGTAGTGCAATATTTGAGATATATCCCTATTGTAAAAGCTTAATAATACCCCAGCTCAACCTCATTTCATGGATCAGTGATCAAGGTTAAAGATATGTGGTGAGGTTTAATCTCTGATACTGTTATGAGTATAAGAAGAAGGTTATTTTGGTGTATGGAACTATTGTAAGAAGTATATGTCAGTCTGGCAGGTTGCATCTGACATTGACTTCATTTTCACAGTTACTCTGTCAATGTTAAGTGTTTGTGTTTTGGACTGTTTTTATGCCCAACCTAGGGGGCATTATGTTTTTCAGTCTGTGCGTCCATCTGTTCGTCTGTCCGTCTGTCCCGCTTCAGGGTAAAGTTTTTGGTCAAGGTAGTTTTTAATGAAGTTGAAGTCCAATCAACTTGAAACTTAGTACACATATTCCCTAGGATATGATCTTTCTAATTTTAATGCCAAATTGGAGTGACACCAATTTCATGGTCCACTGAACATAGAAAATGATAGTGCGAGTGGGGCATCGGTGTACTATGGACACATTCTTGTTTTTATGCCCCACCTAGGGGCATTATGTATTTTGGTCTGGGCGTCTATTCGTCTGTCCAATTGTCCCACTTCAGGTTAAAGTTTTTGGTCAAGGTAGGTTTTGATGAAGTTGAAGTCCAATCAACTTGAAACTTAGTACACATGCTCCCTATGATATGATCTTTCTAAATTTAATGCCAAATTATTGTCGACCCCAATTTCACAGTCCACTGAAAATAGAAAATGATAATGCGAGTGGGGCATCCGTGTACTATGGACACATTCTTGTTGAATACTATAATCAAAAGGTCAACTATAAGATGTATGGTGTACGTGTTTGTATGGTAGGTTTCATCTGACCTTGACCACATTTTCATGATTCATTGGTTGGTGTTAAGTTTTTATTCGACCGCAAACAAATTTTGTGGTCATATATTGGTATGACATTGGCGTCATCGTCGTCCAGCTTCGTCGTCGTTGTCCGAAGACACATTGGTTTTCGCACTCTAACTTTAGTTAAAGTGAATGGATCTCTATGAACTTTAACCATAAGGTTCAATACCACAAAAGGAAGGTTGGGATTGATTTTGGGGGTAATTGCCTCAAAATTTTAGGAATTAAGGGCCAAAAAACAAGCATTTTTCTAGTTTCATGACAATAACTTGTGTGTAAGTGTATGGATCTTTCTGAAATTGTACTACAAGGTTCCATATCACAAAGGAAAAGCTGGAATTGAGTTTGGGGGTAATTGCCCAAAACGTTTAGGAATAAGGGGCCAAAAAACAAGCATTTTTCTAGTTTCCAGACAATAACTTGTGTTCAAGTGTATGGATCTCTCTGAAATTGTACTGCAAGGTATCATAGCACAAAGGGAAGGCTGGGATTGATTTTGGGGGTAATTGCCTCAAAATTTTAGGAATTAGGGGCAAAAAAGGGGCAAAAAACAAGCATTTTTCTATTTTCAGGACAATAACTTGTGTGTAAGTGTATGGATCTTTATGAAATTGTACTACAAGGTTCCATGTCACAAAGGGAAAGCTGGGTTTGAGTTTGGGGGTAATTGCTCTAAACGTTTAGGAATTTTGGGCCAAAAAGGAGCCTAAAAACAAGCATTTTTCTAGTTTCCAGACAATAACTTGTGTTCAAGTGTATGGATCTCTCTGAAATTGTATTGCATGGTACCATACCACTAAGGGAAGGCTGGGATTGAGTTTGGGTGTGATGAATCATAAGGGGGTTCAAAAAATTGGGGGGGGGGGGGGAGGATTTTTTCTTTTCAAATATTTAATCACAATCCAAATTCAGTGCTGTATCAAGCTTGAATGTTGTGTCCATACTTGCCCCAACTGTTCAGGGTTCGACCTCTGCGGTCGTATCAAGCTGCGCCCAGCGGAGCATTTTATTGTGTTTTGGTCTTATTTTCTTATACTATAGGCAATTTGTCTACTATATTTGGTGTATGGAATGAATAAGGTGTACATGTCTGTCGTGAATATCATGTCTCTGACCCCAATTTCATGGTTCATTGGTCAATATTAGGTTTCAGTAGTTAGGTCCTCTTCTAAGATACTATAAGCAATAGGTCAACTTTATTTGGTGTGGAATGATTGATAGGTGTACATGTTTGTCTGGCAGGTGTCATCTGACCTTGATCTTATATTCATGGTTCATTGCTCAATGTTAAGTTTTCCTGGTTAATTTTGTTTCTTAGATTCCACAAGCTATTAGGTCAACTACGTTTTATGCATGGGATGATTGTGAGGTGTAAATTTATGTCTGCCAGGGTTCATCTGACCTTGACCTCATTTTATGGTTCATTGGCCAATATAAAGTTTTCATGGCATGGTCTGTTTCTTGTATACTATAAGCAATAGGTCAACTTCGATTGGGGTTTGGAATGATTGTTAGTTGTTTATTTCTGTCCATCTTGGTTTATCTACATTGACCGCATTTTCACGGATCAATGATAATGTTAAGTTTATGATATATTTGTAGTAAAAGAAACAAATTTGTGATAAGGGGACACAGTTAATCCAAATCATAATAACGATCACTTGATGGTATATAGCTTGTTCCAAAAACACACATCAACTGAAAAAAAGATATAGATAAGCGAGAAAAAACAACTTTTAATATTTTAGTTTAAAATAAGTATCTAAATTTAGTACCATTTTTTCACAATTAAAATATTGCCAGAAAACAAATACTCGTAAGTCATGAACATTTCAGTTTAATTTACGATCAATTTTTATAGTAATTTAATAATAAGGAGATGTGGTATGATTGCCAATGAAACAACTATCCATCCGAGTTCAAATGAAGTGGATGTAAGCAATTATAGGCAACCGTACGGCCTTTCTATTGAGAAAACTAACGGCCTAATTTATAACAAAACAGTTAACGAAAAACAATATGACAGTGGTGTTACAGCAGAACATAAGAACAAACTATAAATATATGTTGAAAATGGCTAAACTCATCAGATCGATACAAAGCAGAAAAACATCTAACAGAAAAAAACAGACTGGACGTGGCAGGGTATTTATGCATCCCTAACAACAAAAGACACAATGTACAGATCTGAGAGTGCTCGCAGTTACTGACAGCTGGTTCAAAGCCAATAACAACTAATAAAAGAAATCATGTATCTAAGACTAATTTATCAATCAGTACACATCCAACATCCAATGGATTTAGTGTAAAGACCGTCATTAACAGTCAGAGAAAAACATGACCTTGTGCAATGCTAACATATAGGTACCGACATATTGTAGTACCCATACCATATGTGTATAACAACACTATTTAGTATGGTTTTAATTCATTGATAACAAAATCAATATTTATACCAATAAAAAAAAATATTCAAGCATCTAATTACAGTGTTGAATTGGTAACCTTTTAGAATAAGTTTATTTAAAGGATTGATAATTAAGCTTTTTTTTGTGAAAAGAATCCCATGACCTCCGGCTACTTCAAAGTTTAAAACCGCGTTCAATGCATGGGTTAGCTGCAATTTAATTTCACATGCTTGTAGTTTGGACAGCTGAAGACTATCATCGACACTGGAAGGATTTAAATGGTTCATGTACATTATATTTGTAAATAACGAGTTCATAAAATGATATAGTTGTGTTAAGGCTTTATCTCTCAGACAAAGTTGACTAGGATCGTCAGTTTTCCTACCGAAGGTTTGTGGTTCTCTCCGGGCACTCCGGCTTCCTCCGCCAATAAAAACAGACCGCCACGAAATAGCACTGTGCTGAAAGTGGCGTTAAACACCAATCAATCAATCAATCAATATCAGACAAAGTTTATCTTTAACAAGTTTAGCTGTTGTATTTAGACCTTTTTTGTATTTATGCTTTCAACATGTTTTATACTTTTTGCCTTGTGTGTAAAGTATTTTTATGAAGAGCATACCCAACGAAAGTTATTACAGACACAAAAAGATTATACCATTTGTTTTTTTACTACCACTCGGTCGGCACCGCTGCTTGTCCGATGTTTGAATATAGGTATCAGAAGAAAATAAGCAAAATGATCAACATAAATTAACAAAGCACTACTAGCAATTGCTGACATGCCAGCACCAGATCTCAATTAAACTGATAGAAAGATTATGTCTTCATCATATGAAAATCAACCACAATCCCTCCCGTTGGGGGTTTAGTGTCATGCCATCATAAATTAAACGGGAAAACATAGCCCGTATCATGCCAAAAACTGATTTTAGAATAAATGTGTTTGCTTCTGATGCAAAGACTTTATGATTGAATCAATA